ATTAGTTATTGGGACATTGAACTAGTAAGACGTATATTTCCGCCGCTTTGAAATTGAGGTATGCTTATTTATTAGTTTTTAATTTCTTTTAGACATTATTATTATGTTTATTCGTATATTATCAATATTGTCTTTTCATATTTATAAGATTTTAACTTTAAATTTATTTATTGCAAATAATTTATTTTTATGAGTGCGGAATACAAATTACAATCTATATCGAATTATTGTAATATATTTTAATAATATATACAAATATCTAAATGTAATATTGTATTAATTCGTTGTTATAAAATATGTCATTTGAATTCATTTGTTTTAAATTTGTATATTTATATTAATGCAAATGTAATTATTTAAAATTCGAATAATAGCCCTAATCTACGCCATGACACTTGACGCCTATTGGATGAAATATTGCGCAGTAAAGACGCCATGACACCTGTTTGTTGAATATATACATTAGAGGGCAGCATCACGTAAGTTGCAATGACGCAGTAAGAAAGTTTAGTTTAAAAAATTTCGTAGGAAGTTAGTAAAATATTTTTTCGTATTCGTAGATTTATCGTTTAGTGCAAATATAGTGTAGTGAATGTATTCAATATTTTTCTCGTTGTAATAAATAATGTTTGAGAAAATTTTAGTTATACGAAAACAGAGAGACATTAATTTTTTTGTAAGTATGATACATATATCCCCAGCATGTTAGACATAACCTAATATATTCAACGTTTATTAATAATTACATTGCTACAGGAATATTTAGAATCGAATTATTAGAATTTATTATTTTGTTGTGTTCGATAATTCATAAATCATATTTCATAATTGTTTAAATAATGTATATCATATTATATTATCGATTCCTCTATCTTCTCGCAATCTTTATTTTTTGTCAATTATTGTATCTTAATTTTCTCAATTTGATTAAGATCAATGGAGAAATTTTATTTATAAATTTAATTATTTTAAAGAAAAAAAACAATAGCAAGCAAAGAAAGCGAAAATGATAGAGGATATTGTCTGATTTTTTTCATTCCTTTTCTTCATCCGTTAACGAAGTTTTTACTTTCAGGAAATTTAGTGACCATGCGCAATGCAGTTGGTAGGGTCAGTGGATGCTGTATAGAAGCTTTTTATTGTTTTTTAGAGCATAGAGTAGCGTTTCGTTTATGGTTTAGGGACATGTGACAATAGAGTCTGTGTTTGTTGCGCATTGTAAATTGCTTCCAAAGCGTCGCAGTCTCTTTGACTTTTTAATCGCGAAGGTTTTTGTTGGCAATTTTCTGTGTTTCGCTTTGATAGTTTCTTTTTATTTTTTTCCATTCTTTTTCATATATTTATATTTTTTCTTTATTATTTATTGCTATGAATCATTTGGATATTAGGTTCATATTTAAGAAAAATTTCAAATTTAAAAGGAACTAATAGAAACTAGAAATATTAATAATATGTAATTGGTTTCCATATTAGAAATTCATAATAAATAATTTTTTATTGTTAGAAAATTGTTATCTTTTACAAATTTGCATTTAATGCATAATACAATTAATATATCTAAATTCCTTAAATAAATAAATAACAAATTTTAAAAATTAAAACTTTCAGCTTTTTTTTGAAATTTTTATCTAGATATAATAGTTTATAGATAAAATAATAACCTTTTCTTGTTTTTGTTTTTGTTTTTCAGATATTCTTTGCAATTTTTCATCTTTATTCATCGACATAGAGGATCTACCTTAATGATGTCCCTGATGAATTTTCCTGGGAGCTCGTCTGATGACTATCTCAGAGTAACAGTATCATCAACTACTGGTATTTGGGGTTTTTCACTGTTAGTTTCATTCATTTTCTACAAACGGTGAGTCATATTTTTTAATTCCTCCAGTCTCCAATCATAAAATGAATGAATCAATATGGAATGACTGGTTGTATTTTTTTTATTTTGGATTTGGCAAGTACAGTGATTATAAATATATAATATATTCATAAATAGTAATTTTATATTTTTTTAAGTAATAAAATTAGAATTTTGTTGTATTTCTAATTTTTAATTTTAAAATATTTTAATAGATATATAAATCTGTATATATTTGATAAATTTTGTATTTATAATATAAATAAGTAACTTGGAACGAATGTTTTTGATTTTTGAGGATTAACATGTTGAGGATGATATGAATCCCTCGGGTTTTAAATGTAGCAGAATTTCGTTGTTTAAATATCAGATTTTCATTATTATTATTGTTGTACGATAACAATAATAGTATTGGTAGCAATAAATATTTATTAAAATATTTTAATCGATAAGAATGTTGAGTTATTGTCTGTAATTTGCATATTACATGTGTAAAACGGATAGCTTTTGTGTTGCATATTAAAATCTCTATAAATGTTTTCTGTAAAATTTGTTCATTTTTCATAAAAGTATATGAATCAAAAATTAAGTAAAAAATAGTAGAAGTAAAATTTTTGTTTATATTTTGCACGTTCTTTATTTATTGTTTCGTTATGTAATTCTATTCGATGTTAGTTAAATATAATATATAATATAATATTATATAATATTATATAATATTATATAATATTTATAATTTACAAACGAGTAACAATACATTGCTGTATCGATGCACAATGTATTTTCAATATCTATATATAAATTTATTCGTGCTTAGTTTACGGTTAGTTTGTGGTAAATTTATGGAATTGCATCGGAAATCTCTTAAATAATCTATTAATATTATCCATAGTTTTGGATATTATAAACCAAATCATATTATTATATTTTACTATTAGTTAGTATATTAAAATATCATATCTATGAAATAATAATAACTGCTAATTATACGTGTGTACAATAGATAAATATTCATTAGAAATAATAAAAATAATAGAAAATTTTAAATAAAATATATATATATATATATAAAATGCGAATATCCTTTATGTAATGGTCAGCAACTTCTGCCAATCGATTTCAAGAAAATGGAATATGTATCACTTTAAATGATACAAGTGTGCCAAGTTTGAGTGTCGAAGGCGTCTCGAGATTTCTTTCTAGTATAGGTCCTTGCACTCAAGTATCACACAGAAAAATCTTTAAATGAGGTCTTTGTACGTCTGCCACGTAGCAAAAATTCGTTTCGATTTTTTCGGAATTTTCACATTAACGCTTGTTCAATTGTAAAGTATGTCATGTTATTTTTTTAATGTGTTAATGTATTGGAAAATATTCACGTTGAAATAAATTAATGTTGAAAATCCCCTTTGGATATTTCAATGTATTCATATTGATATAAATTAGCGTTGAAAATTCTATTGAATATTGCAAAGTACTCACGTTGAAATAAATTATAGTTGAAAATCCTTTCAATGAAATCAATTTCAATTTTTATTTTCACGGCAACGAGAGTGCTTTGTAATTTGAACTTTGCATTTTATCGAAAAATACGGGATTAAATAGATGGAATCGTAGATCATTTACGCTTCTTAAGTTTTCTACTTCCCTTCGAAATTAGTGTTCCTCGAATGCTAAAACTCGAGTTTTAGAAAGAGAAAAAAGAGGCTGCGTGCCGAAGAGGCCCGGCAAATTGCCATGCAAGAGGGTAACTACTAATGGCTCTGCATCTTCGGATGGAGGGTCATTCTTTTTATTATTCTGTCACTGTACTTGCCTGTAGTAATAGTAGTAGTAATTAACTTTGCATGCATTTTCACGTGAAGATATTGAAACAATCCTCAAGTTTAGGTAAGTGATATGAATTGATATTGATTACTTTTTGTTCCACCATTGTGAAGAACTATTAATTTTAATTAATCCTTCAAAGTAGTTTTGAACCTTAGTTTAAAATGGCTTTAGAATTGCATTTATCATGATTTTTTAAAAGTTGCGTCACGATTTAATAATTATCATCGTCATTAAATTTGACTATAAAATTGCTTTAGGAGGGTGTAGTGTAGTATAATAATTTCGCATTTTTTTTTAACAATAAATTGCGCGAAATTTCATATTATTTTATATAATAATAATTTCGATATTAAATTATAATCGGGTATTTAATATAATATTTTTTTTTAATTTCAAACGCAATATATTTTTTCAACTCGTTTTAATTTTAATTTTTAACTTATTGTTTTAATATGAAACAAGGGAGCGTATTTTATTTTTTAAATTTGCGACGCGAAACAAACACCTGTCTTAATTTGCCAACCAAGTTGCAAACAATTTAAAATTTTTACTAACGATGAATTGTAGCGTAGAGATTTAAGAACTAACAAAACTACTGCATTATTATAACTCTTTTCTGTAGTCTTGCACGCTTGTACTAGATTTTCTAGATTAGTGTCATGCATTATGAAACATAGTTGCACGAGATTTCATTAGTATTGCGAACAACGAAGTAACCGTTTTCGTTAGTTACTTTCTTTATTTTATATTCCACGACTTAATGTTATTATAATCAATTAAACATCCTTTATGTACGCAAGCTCTTGCTTTTTTATTTAACAAATTAATATGAGTTGCTTTTGTATGTTCTTTTCGTAGATTTTTCACATGTATTTCGAAAAATGTTACGTTGAAACAACAAGCATGGTAGTTTAGTTTAGTTTCAATGATAATTCTTAAGAATTTCATTTTCAGATCGACTTCATACTTCCAATCTCAAATTTGACCATCATGTTTCATCCTTATATTTCTTATATTCATTTAACTTTTAATCTAGTAGAGCTTCCCTCTATTAGAAAAATAGCTTTACAAAATTAATACTTTTGTCGATGATTATTATTATTTTCCTTTAATATAATTTATTATTATTATTCCTTCAATTAATTAAATTAAAGGATTGTTATCTGATTGATAACAATCCTTTGATTAGATGTAAAAAATAATTCTTGTAGAATTGATATTTTCGTAAGTAATAATTAACACTTTTCATTTTTCACACTTGACACCGGTGACCACTCGAGAAACCGAAGTACGCCACCGAAAAAACGAAAGAGGGGAAAGAAAAGGTCTGGTTTTACATTGCACGGAAAGGATCGCGTACAAAACCCCACGGATTAAGAGATGAGAGCCCCGTATGAAATATTTATCCAGTTAAAGTCGACATGTATATTTTTACGCGTTTCTCTCTCTTTTCTCCGCCCCTCCCTTGGAGACGGTTCAAACACGAAATTAATAGAGTTTGCGGGCACGGTTTCTTTAAAACGTGGAAAAGAGGGCACCGGTTATTCGGCGAGATTACTCGTAATCCTTATTTATAGACGGCGATGTAATGGAGGAACCGTGGCGCCCGCTAATTTCTTTAATCACGATCGTTCTGAGTAATAAGTGCCACCTGTTCCTGATTGCTTCCCCGGTTCGATTATCGAACCAACGATCGTATCCAGGATACGTGTTATAATAAAACGTTGACGTTGATTCGTAGCAGAACTTAGATTCTACAACGAATCAGGAAATGGATAGAAGATTCTTTTTTAGAATCGTTAAAATTTTTCTGAACAATAGAAATAAAATTTTAAAATTGCTTTCCAAAATGTTTAAATTGATCTTCTTCGAGATGTTGGCAGATGATTAAAATTTTCGCTATAATTGTTGCGAATCCTCCTCCTCGAATCGTATAGGAGTCATCTGATACGTTTCTCGAATATCAGAGAAATTTTCTGGAACTTTTTTTATTGATTCGTAAACGAGATTCGATGCAATGCAAAGGATCATCGTATATTTCTGTTCGTCGTCGCGACGACCCTTGACAAATCGCAGACAGTTGCCTTTGCAAAGCGTTCGATTTTGTCCGCGTCATCGAGGGATACGTGAAAGGAAGTGACGATACTTCTTAGATATTCTTTCGGATTAATCTGGCGATATAACGTAAACTCTGGACGTCGTGACGATTTGTCAGAATTTGTAGGACGAATGTCGATGTTGACAATCATCTTTGATGATTGATAGTGTCTTTGTAAAAAGACGAAGCGAAAGTGTACATTCTTTTCGTGTTATTCCATTTCTGAAAATAGATTGCAGTTTTCTATGATTTCGAGGTTTGGAGAATTTGTCAATTCTTTAATCCTATATTTTTCCAAAAACAAGAGTCAGTTTATAGAGAGATGTATATCGTAAATTGCATTGTTCTTATTTCTATTGAATATGTTTCTATTTTAGGAGTAGATTTATAAATTTTAAACATAAAAAACTGCAATTAATTCGCATTTAATTCATTGTGTTAGTTATTTGTTGGTTGATTAAATAAATATGTATAACATTTGTCGATTTTTTGTTAGGATGATTCGATTCGGTTTCATAATTTCTTCATAAATTAAACACTTGAACGATGAAATAGTAGTAATTAAAATATTGTTGAATATTTCATTCATCCTTTTCCCATTGTTAAAAGAATAATTACGAATATAAAAATAAACGACAGATGCAAATATTAAACGTAATATATTTCAATCTTTTATTTTAATCACTTTTCAATTACACGTGATTGAATGTGAAATCGATTATACTCGTTCAATCTGTAAATAAAAAAAAAAGAGATAATTGAAACCCAGATATAATTTACAGAGATATCGAAATAAATAATAATGATATTTAATTACGAAGCACATATCCTTTTATTTCCTGCATTTTCACGTGCATAATGAGATTCAATTAGAGGCAACTTTGCGATGAATTGATCGATTTACGATTCGATTTCAATGGATCATAATGAAACGAGCAGAATAATTCTTAACTATTGTTTCGACGATGTTACGCGTCTGATATTTGTGGTTCGATTCTGGTTCGACTATTTTAATTCATTCCATTATACACTCAATTTAGAGTTATATAATTTTCATACAACTAATCAACCATTA